AGCTCCATGGTAGAGAAGGAAACTGAAGCAAGAACCTGAACAAGATGGAAATAAGATTTCCAATGAGATCAGTGGAAGTTATTTAAATCACATGCTGCTGTAGGTCCCCTGACACCCATTTGTGAGCTTCAAGATATGATGTTAAAGGGCAACATCAGGGACCCACCAACAATATTCTAAAACTGTAATACTGAGCAACCAGACAGTCAAGACAAATAACCAACCAGAGAGTCAACACACTTAAATCACTGTCAAGCCCAATTATGAGAACAGCTGTAAACCAGTAAAATGTCAAAGTATCATAAGCAATCGTATTAGCCTTCTTTTCTCTTCTACTCCCCATTTTTTTCTTTTTTAAAACGACAGCAAGGCTTCCAGGATAATCCTCTATGCATCATATGTGCTCTTCTTCCCAACTCCAAGGTCTAGGATTATAAAATAAAAGCTGAGATCCTCACAGGTATATAATTTCCTGAGTTAGGACTTCAAGAAACCAAGTAAATTCAATAAATGAGAATTGACAAAGGCAACACTAGCACCTTGCATGTGTCTATAAGCAATGTCTCATGGGTAATTACATGCCAGACAATTGGTCAAAAAGATTAGCTAAGAAGCTCAAAACACTGCCATTTCCTTTATAGAAATTTTAAAGGCAATCTACTCAGTCTGCATAAAGCAAGCTTTATGCTCTTAGCACACTTACTAATGAGTATGCTTCACACCACCACCATTACTCCTTTTATACTCTTTCTGGGTTTACAGTTTTATTGCTCAGATGGTGTTCTGAAAGAACAGGTCAGGTATTTTCATTTTCACTTGGATTTTAACTCCTGGAGTGCCATGCAATGGTCATACATATTTTAACGCACAACAGCTGATTCAAGGGTGAAACTCATGTAGGAGAAAGGATTGAACTTCTGTCATTTTGACTCTTCACTGCCTCTACTTTCTGCCTCAGTAAGACAGAAAACATTATTATTATTACTCTCATTTCTTAGCATTCTACTTTTGGGGTGCACTCACTTTGCATAGGACAAAGGAAAAGTGAACAGCATCTGCGTAGTTTGTGAACACTGAAGAGTCAGTATAGTAACACTGTCATACGTAATCCACAGCAGGACCTATTTGCAGACTTCAAAGGCTAACTGATGTTTTGTTTCCTGACAAAATGACCTAGAGATTCCAGCTTTCCTAGAAGTGCTTCTGCTGCATGTTACCCTGAAGGAACTTGCTCAGTCCTATCGCCTCCCCATGCTCCAAGAACCTGCCTCGCAATAATACTTCAACAAAGCAGTTTTGGAGCTTAGAAACTCTATTTTATTAGTCGAAATGGTTTGCTGAGGGGCTGAAAGCCTAGATTTTCCCAGGTAGTTAATATGTTGCTTCTCTTCAGCCCTCTACAGTAACTATCAGCCAATAGTACAGACCATTCCACATATCTGAGATTCTTATATCCAAAATTAGATCTGAATCAGCAAGTCTCTACCATACCTTAAATGACAACAATGGGCACACAGTAAATAAAAATAATTTATTATTACATAGTTGAAAGGAAATATTTTTTGTATATTTAATGGAAGTCACATTTTCTGTTAAAAAACTTAAACAAGCATCTCTATTCAACTGCATACACAACAAGATGACAAAGAAAGGGCCTAGTTTTCCATTTGAGAAAAAAGGTGTTTGGAACAATGCCTATACAAACCTACTCATTTCTTCTCCATTAATTCCACACGATTTTCCCGTAAGCATACCTGGTTTTCTATAACCAATTTTGATTTGCATAAATTCTTCCCAGAAAAGAAACAATTACCTAACCTAATGATTTCTCCATTAATGGACATTTTGGCAACAATAGATAATGGAGAAATCCTTGATTAGTTTCAGGAGAATAAACACACATTTACATCAATAAGAGTCTCAGTGTAAGTCCACTTCAAACGCAGAATATTCAGTGTGCTGAGGGAATATGACTGATCTAGGTATCCTGAGTAAATTAAGGTGTACGCCAAATATGTTTTTGCTTTTGCAAGAGATGGGCATATACAAAGCCCTGATATCCAAAGACACTATACTAAATGGATAAAATATCTGTTCTCGAGATGCTAATAGCCCCTCTTCAACTGCAGCTCTGGACTCTGTCTCTCTATCATACACATTGTCTGAGCTTCAGCCCAAGATCCCAAGTCACGGCCCAAATGAACAAGAGAATAGAATTCCTTTTGCAGCCCCTTCCCAGCCCCACTCCAGCTACAGCTCTAGCCTCTGTCTCTCTCCTAATCCCAGCCCCAGCCCCAAGCATCACCACCAAACCATACTCCCTTGAAAGTCCAAACCACCATTTTCTCTTGAATTTTATTTCCTTTATCAAGGAATGTTCTTCAAAAGCCAGCTTGACATTAATAACACAGGCATTATCACTAATGCAGCTTTTGCTCATTAAGCCACAAGTACACAGAGAAAGTGGCAGTTAACCCCTTAGTCACTGAAACACAGACACTAGTTCTACTATAATGCTTGTTTCGAAATGTCACTGTCAGCTGAGAACTTGCCTACTACTGTGGTTTCCCTCTCAGCACAGTGAGAATGGTTAGACGGAAAAGGACAAATACTTTTGAATGGAAGGGATCATAGTTTAGTATTTGAAACGTAGTAGAGATATACCGCAAAAGGATTGTCTAAGTTCTGTCTATCTAGCAGCTGAATTAGCAAGAAAACAAGTTTAGGAGTCATGCTTACAAAAGGGGGTGTACTATAGTTTGCACATCCTTAAAAAGATGATCATAAAAGATAAGCACTCAGGTATTACAAATCCTAGCCTAGTTTTGGATGAGTTGCTTAACTTTTTGCAACCTCCACTTTTTCAGCAGTTAAATGGAAATAATAATCCTGCCTTTTCTGACAGTAAGGCTATGAAGCTTAATTCATTTAAATTCTGTGAAAGTCTTTTGAGGTCCTTATATGAAAAGTGTTATTTAATTAAACATTGTTATTATTCCAAAGGAGCAACTGTAACAAAAAAATCCTATTTTATTGCCTATTGCAATTTGCATATAACTGTCCAACCCCCCAAAAGGAGCACTTGTCCCTGTTCCGATAAGGACTTACACTAATCAAAGTATGTTATACGAGAAAAGCATAATCTACTCCAACACAAAAACATTTTAACCAGTGACAAATTAAACAGATGTTATGACTATCAAGATTTTTAATAGCATTTTTAAATCACTAAGATTAATGTTCTTTTCCTGAGTTTCATGTACGTTTTAAACTAGGTTTGTTTCTCTTTATCAGTTAAAATACATTCTAATCTCTTTTGCTGTCTTATTTAATGAATTAGAATGGTTCTTAACTCTATTTTTATGGACACAGAAACAGAAATTCATGGAACACATTACTTTGATGTGTTTGCCTACAAATGAGCCCAAAGTTGGTGTTGCTAGTTCTCAGCCAATACTGCATTGTTCTTCATTTAAATTTCATCTATTCCTAAATAAAATCATAATTAAAAGAAAAAGAAAACACAAAAGAGTTGTTGCAGCCTTAAGTAATACTGGTTAGAGCAGAACCTGGATGTCCTCTTTTAGCTTTTCAGAGCTTAAGAACTCCAGGATGTAGTAGCTTCCCCTCAGAGCTTTCATGTACTACTGTCTAATTCAATGATGCTTCCCTTGATTATAAATGCTGGGACAAGGAGTCTCATAGATCTGAATGAGCACAACTACTACCTGTTTTCTTCCCTGAGCTGCGGTCACAGTGCAGATCATGGAGGCCAAATGTAATTCACTGAGTATGAATCTGACCAAAAAACTGACAGAAACACAGCAGGCAAATACTTGCCCATGTTATGATCCCCATCTGGTTGGAGAAAAACTTAAAGGCTCCAACTGGTCCTAAAAGCCCAGGACTGATAGAAAATAACTACCCAGAAGACAGCACTGGAGAAAAGATTTGTAAGATTACTCTCCCCTGTCTACGGGCTATGTCAAGTACGGGACTGAACAGGAGTGGGCCACATGGTGTTTCAAAGGCCACAGCTAGGTATGCAACACAAGGAACCATGAGGAATGATTAAAGTAATTTAGATGGCCCACAACAAGAGTCTAAGACAAAACAAGGGGGTCTCCAAACTCTCAACAGCTCAGGACCTCAAAGATTTGACCACAGGAGAAAGCCACTGTGTCCAGAGTCTTACACAAAAAAATTTTATATGAAGTGCCATATACTCTTTAAAAAAAATTCATGCCACCTGCAAGTCAGCAGCACTGAGACCAGAAAGTGTCTCTGCATTGCAATGGCAGACCTGCATATTACAAAGTTAGGGAAAGCAAGCCAATATTACTTTCTGCTGAACTGACATGCTCCTTTCAGATCGTTTCATATACAACTTGGAACTAGTGTTACACTTGGAGGTGTAAGTAGCACGAGTAAGCAAGCCATTTCCTTCATTCAGAAGGGTTCTTCCATATAGTACATTCTGACGTACTGAGTGAAGACTAGCTCCTGTTTCTTTCACAGAGCTTAAAGAACAGGCTGTAGCACAATGGTATCTGCTTATCTCAGTCAACACAAAGCCAAGCCCTGAAAACCATCTAACATTATATACTTAATGCCAAGTATTGTTTGAAAACAGAACCTTTTAAAATACCAGTTTTCTTAGTCTAAATCAGATACAGTATCTTTATAATAAGCTCCTTCTAGATATGCTACGCTTCTTTCTGGGGATTCAGAATTGCCACTTACAATCAACGAAAGGAACAAAATTTTTCTATTATTTATGTTGATCCATTCCACAGACTGTAAAAGGATTCATCATCATGTCAGCCCCTTTATTGTTACCTACACTACTTACTGCCTAAGAGCCTCAGCTGTAGCCCAGGGCGCAGTGGTGAAAGGCAAATCCCCAATATCAGTAGTTTGCTTGTCCTAGCAATCCTTTCGCAGGCAGTACATACACAAAAGAAATGAAAAGGAAAAGTAAAGAAAACTGTTTCAACTACCTTGCCATGTAGTTTGTGGACATCGTATCTTATCTGAGCAAATTCACGGAGTCCAAAAGATCCTCCAACAAGATACAGCTGAAAAACAACAAAATGAAAACAGACGTGTTAGGACTATTATGAAAACAAACCACTTTGCATACTTAAAAAGAACACTTTGCATACTGACCCAATTCATTCACCAAGGGACCCTACTCTTCTTCCAACAGAAACACCAGGAACTGAAGATAATAATCAAGTGGAAGGTATGTATAGAAGAAGGAGTATATGGTAAAGTCAGAGCCTTTTCTTCCATGATCTGGGCCTGAATTTCACAAATTTCCTCCTTTATACAAAGACAGCTGCTTCATGATGCACATTTTCTAGGGACTTCCCCTCCTCTTACCCCTTTTTTTCCCTCCCCATATGGCTTCCTGCCACAACTGCAGCAAAGGAACCTTTACCTCACCACCACAGGATTTATTCTCATCATTTTCAAACTCTATGGGGAAGTAACAATGCCACATTGACTTACTCTGATGTCTGTGGGTAAGAGATCTAATTAAGCTTCTGAACAGACCAGCTGATTGGAGCTGTGGTTCAATAATACATTATCACACAGGCTAAGAAATCATATCCAGCACACCTGCAGTTTTATTATTGCCTCCTTAGTTGTCTTGCAATTCCCTCCACACCTGTGAAGCATATGAATAAGTATAATAAAGGGTGAAATGGGGGGAAAAACACCTTCATATCCACAAAAAGAAATTGTTAAATTATTCTTTCTTATGACAGAGGGATATCATAAAACTGTCTACATATTTTACCATTAAAAATGGACAGACCAACGGAAAGATCAAGTATTGTTAACAAACACCATTAAGGATGTGAAAATGAGCTTAGAAGTCTAGGTACTTTGTGGAAGAACAAGGCCTCTTGCTCCTGATGTGGCCTGACAGACCGTCTGCTGTTCTCTGTTAAGGCAGATGCACAGAGGCCAAAAGACTTCATATCTAGAGATGTACATCTAAGGAAGGTGGAAGCATGAGGCAACTCTAAGGACCTCAGTGGGAAAAAAAACCAAACCCAAACCCCAACACCACCCTATTTTATCACACCGCATTGCTGTTACAGTCCTTCATTATAGGCTGTTGCTGCACTGGTAACTGTTTTCAACACAATGCTGGCTGATTTCTTGCGACATATTAGGTTTGCAGCAATGGCCTGTGTCCAAGAATTGTTATAATTATGCTGCACAGGCAGTCAAAATGTATGTTCTTTCCAAAAAGTATGCTATCTTAAGTTCAGGTCACTGAGGCCACAAAGCCATATTAATTCAATTTAAATTGGGGGGTTGGGAGGGGAAGCCTTCTACATTTATTCCTTCTAAAACTTGCAGGACTACATGATTTCCCATCAAGCAAGTAAAACTACTCACAACCATATGAACGCACTCCCCACACACACTTAGATGCTGGGAAGTTACAGACTGGTACCCAGGAACTAATGTGCTTTGTTCACAGAACAGGGAACCCTTCACCAATAGCCAGGAGTTAAAGGCTCTACGGTCTCTTTCTGGCCTGGCCCTTTCAATAAGCCTCAGAATCTAGCTGATAATTAGAAACAAATAGACCAAAATTTTGTGATACAAACATCCAGCTGCTAGGCCACAGAACTCTGATTTCAGAAAGCCAATCAGAAAATCATCATGTGGTTGCAAGTTAACTTTCAGCAACTAGAAATCTGACCTACCAAAAATGGGATGGCATCATACTTGTATCATAACTGTTCAAGGAATTAATGATGCTTTTGCAAATATTGAATCATCAAAATACACAACAGAAAAAAAGGTATTCGTATAAAGGAGGGGAAAAAAAAGTCTTCCTCTTGTCATTATCTTGGTAAGAAAGAATAACAGGAAACAGAAAATAAAGTATTCAAAATGGTTAAAAAGAACCTGAACATTATTCAAGATTTATTCCAAGTAGAAGATTTGTCAGCTGAAGATATGGTAACGCATAATGCTGAAAGTCTCAAGGATCAGACTATAATTGAATTTCAATATGGTTGACACCTCAGCATAAGCATTCGTCCGGTGATCTTCTTTAACTCCTAACAAGTATTACATTAATTAACAGCCAATGAGTTAACTTAACAAACTTTGAGTCCTAAGTGCTATAGACAAGTTTAAGGCTGTTACAAACCACAGCTTATTGCCTTTGTGTATATTAGTATGTTGTCAAAGAGTGGCTATGGCAGGGCAAAAGCACCTGCACTAAGAATCGTTCAGTACACAGTTGTTAAACCAGGCAGAAAGTAGCCATTACTTGTGACATCAATTAAAAATTAGTTTGCCCAACAACAAACTTGCATGAAGTATATACCATTATGAGAGGCAATATGAACAAGTGGAAGACCTTTAACTGGCCTGTTCCTCATAACCCGACTATTATTTAACATAATTAAAAGGTACGCTGTGGCTTACAAAGCCATGCTCCAAGCTAGATATTACATTCTTTAGCTTTGATCATTTAAAACTATGTAATGTACACTGTAACTAAGGGAAATCAAATAGAAGGTTGTTGCATGAAATAAGTCATGTGCTACTCACTTTGTCTGATCACATCCTATCGCTTGTTTGACAGCAACCATCTATTATACAGTGCATTTTACATTTGCAGCTATACCCATGATAAAGAAGTTGATACACACACACCTCTCAGTCCCTTTAGACAGGTTTTGGCTCGAGACTGTAATTTTACTCACATCACCTTTATACCACTAAAGGGAAAAAACCCACTTGGTTTCTGATGTACTTTTGCTCTTCATTCAGCATAAGCAGTGTAACTAGCCTGGCAAATTGGCACATTTCAGTCATCAGGCATCACTAGCATAGTTGCCTTTACACTTCAGTACTGCAATGGTTGATTTATCTTACGATGAAACACCAGTTAGGCTGCATCAGAATCAAAGCACATTGATGCTGTAAGAAATTACAAATGCCACTGAAATATTACACAGTGTAATGCTGGAAGGAAGGTTAGGATTAAGATTAAATAATTTTCAAAAGCACAGAAGACACACAAAAATATAAATCATATGTTTACGAATTTACTTGACCAATGTTCTGAAGAACCAAACACAATGTCTAAGACTTCACTGCAAAACCAGACCAGAATCAGTCATATTCAGCACTTATTTAATCAACCAACAGCACGTCAATACAGTTAGCTGACAGCCCTGAGCATGAATTGCCTTGATCTACACAAGCCAGAGCAGCAATGGACAGCTATTCAGTCAATTAGATTTTTGAAAACTGTGTTCAAAAGCCAATAAAAGAAGGTATAAATGAATTTATGCAACCATAATAGCATTAAAGGTAGTAAAGGACTCAGTGACTGACAATGCATTGAGTGGAAATATTAGTCTTGCTTTAAGCGTTTACTTTCTCTTTTCTGCATTATGAGGGAAGATGTCCTCACTACTTCATTTAAGTTCACTGTATTTAAAAGGAAGAATGCATACATACAAACAACAATGAAGAATCAAGAGGCAACAGTCAAAATAATTAGAAATGGGATAAGACTCAAGCTAAAAATTCCAGCAATGTTACCAGCTTGATGGCTTTGCATATTCTGTATGTCTCACATACATTTCTAGTTTCCCAATTTGTAAAATAATCTCTACATTCCTTGCAAACACTCTTCAGTTAAAAAAGCGCTACAATGGACAGATCGGCTCAATGTAAGCCAAGGGCAACAGCGAAGTCCAGTATGTTCCATCCACTAGTCCAGACATAAAAGAGACAGTAGAAGTTATTCAGGATGCCAAATAAATAAAACAGTTAGGGTGGCAACATCCTAATGAAGTCAGGCTCAAGTTCACTCTCCAGTTAACTGAAAGGGGAAAAGTAATGCCACATACAATGTAAATTAAGATATATTTTTCTTCATTCCAATTTTAGAATCATACAGATACTTAACTTACACCATAAAATATTAAGGCATTAGCATCTGAAGAGTACCCAAGCTGGAATGTTCAAATATACCTGTTTTCTTTCATTGTGAAAGAACTATTTGTTTTATATGTTTCAGAATGTGGAGCAAAAAACATTATGTAGTGAACATCATCTGTCTAGTTACTTGAATGCATTCAGCAGATTGATGAAATGATAAGCAACCTGGTCTAGTGGAAGGTGTCCCTGCCCATGGCAGGAGGGGTTGGAACTAGATGATCTTTAAGGTCCCTTCCAACCCAAAACATTCTATGTTTCTATGATAATAACTTCTCACTTTCTCCTTTACACCTGAAGTTTACCTTAAGAAGGCAAAAATCATAAAACATACTAGTTAGTCAGCGCTTAACACCAAAGCAAGCAGCTTAACAGCACTGCTAGCACAAACCCCCATTAAAGATCTCACATTGGATTATTCCTTTATGTTTCAGTGAGTACACAAAAAACCCCCTACAATGTTGTAATGCAATTACGCATGCATGGAAGACTTGCATGTTCCAAAACAAAATGAAAGATAGGATGTGACATAAGAGCACCATCTGTCACATACACTCAGCAACCTCAATAAATGTTTTATGTAAAAAAATGACATAAAATTCTCTTTAATAACACTCTTTTAAAAATTCTATTTGTTCACTTCTCCATTGGGAAGTATGTTATGCAATCAGTTATGGATGGCATCAGACTGATCCCCTGAACTGCACCTTAGGATGGGAAATACTTGTATTTGTCACCAACTACAGTGAGACGGTCACTGAGGACTCATAATAGCAGGAGAACTTGGGACTTACAGAAGATGCCCACTTTTTTATTTCCTGCATCATCTAAAGCAGCCACCTTCAGTTCCTTGGGTTAACAAAATAACAAGAAACTATTTCTCTGGCAGCACCAGCAGTTTGCCATATTACAGGTGTCCCTGTTGTTAGAGAAAGCCATTCCTGCTATAGTACCAATTGTGAAAGCCAGACTACAAAATTACATTTGTCATAAATCCCTAAATTAACCAAATCACAATATTCAGTGCTGGCAACACAGATCCTGCAGTGGTGGAAAATGTTATGATACATATCACTGGAGAAGGAAC